ATGTGTTTTTGTTGCCTAATCCCAACCATGTGTGTTGAAGGAAAAAAAAACTGTCAATTTGCAGTGTTATACTGCCGTGGTGCTTTATTTTGAAAGAGACTGTATGTAAACATTCAATTTCCTGTGAAAACGGAAGTGTATTTTGAAAGAAGACAATGCATGTATCAGGCAGAACTTGACACGGCATCCCAGAACGTCAACAACCAACGCACCAAGGCATGGAAAGTCCATGACCAAACATCAATATGTGATGAGTCTGGAATGAGAATGTGTTGGTTGCACATAAATGCAGATTTCACAAGGCGGAGACTGGCGGTGCTGAGAAATGCCTTGCAACTCTACGCTCCAACGTCGTCTTGCGTTAACTGGCAATCCACTTCTGTCTGTTGGTACAGCTGGTTTTCCTCACCTGATGCACACCATACCCTAGTACACATGGACCATACTCAAGACCACCTTTTCAAGTGGACTTGGGCACAGTTCATCGATCCGAGCCCTGGTATGGTAGGCTACACAGTGTTCACACTAATCAAAAGCACTGGATTTTGGGATCCCATGTGCTCTTGAGTGTGGCTCATTTGTAGCCTATATGCGCACAGTTTACATGATGGCTGCACGTTTTGAAATTATACTCATCGTTATATCTTATTTCTATCTATATAATTTTTTCTTAAAATATGTCAAAGAAAAATACCAGTTAGTAGAACAAATACAAACACTGATAATCTGATTATCCTGCCTGTTGTACCTTTAAGGATATTCCCTAAATAGGATGTGGGATACATTTAAATTTACTTTATTTTATTTAAGGTGCCCTGTGAGAACAAACGAATGGTCTAACAAACATTACCAGTGCATTTCCATCCTCATAAAACATTTGCAATGCTGATTTTTTTAAGTATCTTGAGTTTTTTACCTCCATGTTTACTGGCAGTTTCCTTCTTCTTTATTTTGGCTGTCACGTTGCAGAATGTCTTGGCAATGTTACCTCCAACTGCTGAAATCTAACGTCAGCTCAGGCCAGTATCCACACATTCACAGCAGAGTATGGGTGAAGTTTGTTTCTGGAAGTCACTCTCTGTCAACTATATATTGAAAACATACAACTGATTATTGATGATATATAACAGCCACAAAGCCAAAGCCAAGCCAACAGGGCAATACAATATCTACAACTCTCCGCTACTGTGATTTTGTGAACGGTTACAGTGTATTGTTGCATCACTGCATGAATGAACAAAGGCATCTGTTGCACCCAGTTTTTTTGCTCCATCTCAGCGTCTGCTTTTAAAGTTCGTCAGAAATGGTGGTTTTGAATCAGACCCGATCAAACCAGTACATGATGAGACACTTTCCAAAGTGGGAATGTTTGTCCTTAAACAGAACGTAAATCAGTGGTAATGTAATGCCTAGTAGGTGTTTTGAAAAAGGTAATATTCATCTGTACCCTTGACCACCTGTGTGACGAGGGGAGACTGCTGAAGACAGCTAATGCCGGCAAGCGTTTGGAGTGGTCTTTTACACTCTAGTATGGACAGAGATATTTTGTAAAACAAAGGTCATGTGGTCAGAATTATTCTTTAAAACAAAGGGGGAAAATATCAGTTTTCAAAAATATCTGAATTTGTGTAGACGGAGCCTAAATCTCCTTCTATTGCGTGACTGCATAACAAATAATCTGCTACAGTAAACAGGCCTGTGAAGGACATGACTTAAAACAAACCAAATAGCAAAAAGAAAAAAACCCCACAAACTATATAGCAAATAAGTGGAGCTCTTTCCACAGAGGTGTGACAGAGCATCATGATGATTACCAGTGAGCGGTTTCCTGTGTGCTGTTCCAGTGACTTGTCAAAGACCCTCAGGCATGTTTGGTCATTGTTAAGCTAATCATTGATTCTGACACAGGTGTACTTCACAGCCACCCAGAAATACACAAGGTTCCCCTTCAACAAATAGTGGCACATCAAATGAAACATATTCGAAACACAACATATTTGTAAAAACTGTGAGTGTGAGTCAGAGAGATTTTCATGCTTTGACAAAAAATGACAACCAGCAAAACCATAAAGCTAACTGCGGCCTCATGAACTGAAGGCTCCTGAAGCTATGATGAAACTGAATCTTATCAAATACCTAAACCTGGCTGACTGTAAAAAAACAGAAAGAAGAAAGCAAAGAAAAAAGGCATTCTGTGAGTCTCTGTGGTCACGCTCTGCTGGCTATGGCCAAACTCTGGTCACATGACCGATACTGGGGAATGTGAAGGGCAGAGAGGTTGCCTGGCACCTGAAGGCAGAGAGAGAAAGCGACCCCCTCCTCCTCCCTGAAAATAACACAGGCTCACTGTGTCCGCTCAGTGGGAACGGAAACTCACTGAGGTTTCTTACCTGCGACGGCAAGTTATCTGAATCCAAATCTAAACCACAACAGACCCACAAAGGAACTGATTCAACAAGAATGCTTCTCTCGGTATCAAACAGAACCATAATAAGTTCTCCTGTTTGAAACCTTCTCAGCAGAAACCATGTTCTACCAAACCTAAGAATATTTTTCTTTCGAGCCACAGTCAAAACATATTTACTGTTATCCACATACACACCCAAATTACAAATATTTCCCTTATCAAGACTTTTTTTTTTTTCAAAAAACCCTGACATTCCCTGTCATTCACACACATACCAGAATTACACACATCTTCCTACTTCCCCCTATAAAAGTCCAATTCTTTCTTAACATTTTGCTATCATTAGCTGTTGTGCAATGCTGCAGGCTGGTGCCTTGAACCATAAGTTTAAGTGTAAAGTAGTCATCAGACCAAACAGTGCTAACAAGATAGCAAATTGGTTGTTTGCCACTGTTGATTTTCCTGGCACGTGCTGATTATACAAAGCAACGATGGAATGGAGGTTACGTCATCGTTTTCCAAATGCTCTGATATTCATGTCCACACAGATAAACGGTAAATAATTTTTTTTTAAAATCTGCACCGGGGGGGTTAAGCAAGCTTTGTTTTACTGACTAAAAACTCTATTTGCATTTGAATTAGAGGCCAAAACACAGAGGAAGATATCTATTCTCAAAAAATCTGTATAGGTGCAGACAGACAGGGCCTGTGACTAAGAAATTGTTTTTCATCATTTAGAGGCCAGTTTGGATCATTCATTCATTCATTCATTCATTCATTCATCATACATAAACACTTATCCTGGTACAGGGTCACAGGGAGGCTGGAGCAACAACTATAGATATTTTAAAATGTGGAATAGTGATGTAATTTGTTTAATTTTCAAATATAAACTTGTATTTCAGGATAAGATGTAAAAAATGGAAAAATGCAAAATGTAAAAATCAATAGATATTCCTTTATTTTTCATATTGTCTTTAAAATCTCTTCCTGAAAATCTTGGCAGTAGTGTATTGAGGCACGTAAATGTTTCAAAGGTCATATACAGACTCTAGGTTATAGGCTGTTCTGTCTGACCCCTCGCCAAGCCCCTGACTCAATACTGTTTTCTCTAAAAAGTAGCATTTATTCAAAAAAAACCTTCAAATGCAATCTTGAATAATCATTAGAATTGAGCTCTAATGTGTAGTCACTGTCATCATGACCACATGTCAGGCCGTTCCTTGTCCTTTTGTTAGAGGTGACACTGATATGGCAGTGAGAGACAACGGTTGGAAATGTGATATAGCACCAAGAGAACTCGCCTATATTTACCATAAGATGTCATTAATTTTTCAGGTTGCTCCCTTTGTCAGGTGTGACTGCATGTGTTTTGAGACTAGACTCTTGAAAGGCTTGACTCGTGTCTATCATGGAAACTATCATGACTGCTTGGTCTTTTAAATGTGGTTGAGTGTAGATAATTGTCCTCTGCTTGGGTGCATGTCATCATTACATAAAGATCACAGACATAGCATGTAAAACAGGACATTGGAAGATTGAAGGTAAGTTAGACAACTCTCAGTACCTGCCTGTAGTCTTCAAGCTTTAACAATCTAGGTAAAAAATAGTGAATGCTTTTGTAAGGCACTTCTAATTTTACTAGTAGATCTTGTTCAGTGGCAAACAGTTGAAGTCTGGTGATACAGGGTGGCTCCCCATAGGCTAATTAACAATATTTAAAGTATGTGGCAGGGTGGTGGAGAGAAGTATGCAACCACAGCCAAGCACCCAGTGATAATGATAAAGTCTGAAAGGTAAGAAAACAGATAACTCATGTAACCAGACTGGAATGACTCCACTCCTCTGTGCTCACACTTCTCACCTCAGCCCGTTAACTGATCCTGTGGCTAATTGTTCAGAGCACGTGTGGTTAAGTTGCCAGTTGCTGGTAACGTAGCCCTCAGGATTGAGTGTCAGGCTGCTCTTACAAAGGCACCTGGATGAAACGCACTCCGTCATTTTTGTTAGCGGTTTACTGACTCATGCGGGAGTGAATAAGCTGTTACAAGACTTTAAATAGAGCATGAATGTCAGGGGAGACACAACAGGTTCTTTGAAATTTTGAGTTTGATTATGCAAATGAGGAAATTATCTAATTAAATATACAATGATTTGCTTACATTTCCGGAACAGAAACATTAGATAGAACCAAAAATAAGATCAAAAATAAGACACGATGGGTGAATAGGGTAGAATTTTTAACTTATAGATATCCCTATGAAACTTCCCCAGTTGATTCAATATGTAAAGACAGTTATTTTTTGTATTACAAGTTCTCCGACATTTTATGTTTTAATATGCAAATGATCAATATCTAATTAAATAGGCTCATTTTGCCAAAATTTCTAGAAAACAAATCTTAGCCTCAGTGTGTATTGTGGACATTTTCTTTCCACTAGTCTGAAAGACGACATCTTACGGAAGCAAAATAGCCCAAAATCTCAGCTCATACAGGTGCATTAAAACTGTATTTCCACCTGTGGTTTCTCCCCTTAAGAATAAGTGAATTAAAATGTAATTCATGTTTTAAAATGACACAAGATATGCAGTATCTTAAAAAACAGTGATGTTTATTAAAAAAACTTGTTAGATACATGAACTGCAGTTGTACATAACACACAAAGATAATTCCTGTTATAAATGAACCCAGGTGCTTTTGTGCTCCCTCTGTGCACACTGTAAAACACCCAGTGTCCTCTGCCAACCCCGCCCTTACCACACTGCACTAAACATCGCCTTGAATACAGTTATCATCTGTCTTGACAGTTACAGGTGATTAATGATACTCTAGTACAGTATTTACAACACATAATCCCAGTGATAACCCTGTCGCACCTTTAAACACATCCAATTCTTCACTTTCTTTACACAGCAGTGCCTTATTGTGATGGTGATGCATGAAGCAGTCATAGCAGTTTTTATATAAAAATACTCTGTGGTAAACATTAAGAAGTCAGGACTGTACAAAAAAGTATGATTGTATACTGGTTGTGACAATAACATTTAGCGTGTTAAAAAGACAGAGCACTAAGAACATAATTTGATTTTTGTTTTGAAACATGATTTAAAGTAGATTTCCACTCCGTGTCCTTTGCATGCTTTTTCAGTCTCTTGAAAAAGGCCTATGAGCCTAGGTCAGAGATACTTAACATTCAAGGCAAAATCAAACATCCTTCATTACGGAGTCTCTTTGTTCCCATGAGCTCTTTTCCTCAGTACACCCTCAGTTTGGTGTGAAGAGCAGGTTAATGTCTTTTTCTCTTTGACCTTCATTCATACATAGTCTTTTCTTTCTAACCCCGGGCCCCCTGCTGACCGTGGGGCAGAGTAAGCCATTCGAGAGGGGTTGTATCTGGTCTCACGGGGTGGACAGGAGCAGCACAGCAGTGCGCCACCAAGAACCAGGAGGGCAGCAGCCGCCCAGCCAATGTACAGTGCAGCCCCCAGCTCCCTCCGCTGAGCATCAGTAAGTAGAGGGTTGTAGAAGTCCCTGATTATGGTGTTGGCCGACCAGGAGACAGGAATGAGCTGCATGACCCCAGAAACAATGAAGAAGACCCCAGAGATGATCATCACCTTGGCCTTGGATGCCTCGTCGTCAATGCAGTTGGTGCACTTGGCCCCTGCGATGGCAATGAGCACTGCCAGGATGGCCAACAGGATGGAGATAACGGTGAGGGCGCGGGCTGCTTGGAGGTCTTGAGAGAGGGCGAGCATAGAGTCATAGACCTTACACTGCATCTGGCCCGTGCTCTGGACCACGCAAGTCATCCACAGGCCCTCCCAGATGATCTGAGCCGTCACAATGTTGCTGCCGATGAAGGCCGTCACCCTCCACATGGGAAGAGCGCACGCCACGATGGCAATAATCCATCCCAGAATACACAGGGAGATACCTATCAACTCCAGCCCTATAGACATCCTGAAATATCTTCCTCTTCTGTTGCTGAATGTGTGTCACACCTGAGAGGAGATCACAGAAAAAAATCTGAGGAGAGGAAGAGTCAACCAGAGACCAAACTAGTAATTACATTAATTTCAGGCCTTGCATCTGTGAGTGTGTGATGATCTGATGCCTTTACTTCACCAGTATCCTTTATAAGGCAGATCAGGTGGAGGGGAGGAGTCTTTGAAGGAGCTGACATCACCAAAAGAGGAGGAAGGACCTGGACACACTCTGCTCTCAGCTTACAAGGCCAGCTTCACAATGGGCCTGGCCACAAAGGGGCCTTTTACAGCTGAAAGGGCACACAAGTATTGCATGTGTTTGTTACAACCAAAAAAACTGTTGTGAGAGTGGATTAAGGCTACTTGTATGATTGAAAATAGAGATATTAAGGACCGGTGTGTAGGATTAAGGGCAATATTTTGGCAAAAATTAAATATAAAAAGTATGTTTTCTTTCATGTATAATCACTTGAAATACTAATCATTGTGTCTTGAGGTTGCCATGTTGCACTGCCATCTATCTACAGTAGACCAGAATGGACAAACCAAGCACTGGCTCTATATAGGGCGTATATAGGGCGTTTTTTTTTGGGGGGGGTTCGCAGCCCCTTCGGAACAAGCAGCATCTGCAAAACAAAGATTTTTTTTTTCTTTTATCGTGTAACTGCTTCATACAGTGTTTTTACCAGTTTAAATGTCTCAGTCTGTTTTTGAGAGGAAGAGACCTCTGCTGATAATTCAACTCCTGGTAAAAACTTCCCGAACAATGACCACTGAAGGAATTCTAACCTGAAGTTCATGCTTGGCACATGACAGAAGTTTCAGCTGGTTGCAATCTGCAATCCTCACCACTAGATGACCCAAAATCCCCCCAAATTTTTTACTCTTTTCTTTAACATGTAAATAAAACAGGTTGTAAATGGAATCCAAAATCCCAGACACACTAGACCAACATCTAAAAGAATTAGTGGCTGTTGTGTCACCTAACGTTGCTTGTGACTTGGCCAAAAAGTTGCTCTTGAACACACAGCAAACACAAGGGCTGACTATTTTCTACATCTGCAGTAGAGGAAATAACTCTCCATACCAGCAGGTGGCAGTAGTCTGTATCTGTCATTGATATTTGTCAGAGGGAAACCAGAAGACAGGCAGGATGGATTCAGGACGCTGGTTCACTTTATGCATCACCAACACACCCTGATGTTGAGAGAACAAATGATTATTGCTTCGTCCTAGCAAAAAGAGTGGCAACAAAAATAATCTGATCAAATATGACCTGTTTGTTCTTATCTTTCTTCCTCTTGACTTAAGTTGTTTGCATTCCTCACTTCTGTTTGTCTTCTTGTGCGCTGCGCTAAACTGCCAGTCACAGTGATTTCTCTCGCTGACAGGCTCTGCTGTCAGTGACGCCGATTCAACACACTGAATCAGCCAAAAAAAACTGAAGAGCTGACGAGTGCCAACGGTGTGGGACACTGCAAAAATGAGTTCGACAGATGCTCACAGCTCCATATTGACTGACGAACGACTGTCGGCTTGTTGTGTGAGGGCTCTTACCTTTTCAGAATCTGTGTATCTGTACATATATTTATGACTGATCGGTAAGCTGCTTTATTCAGTCATCACTGAAAAACAATTTTAAGTAGGCTAGGTAGTAGATCACTTTATCATAATTAGCTTCTCTGAAGATCTGATGATGTAGCTTTGTTAAAAAAAAGGCTAATAAATGAAGAATGCCTGTTACTAAGGAACAGATCCTCAGTAACACCCTCTTAACCTTTCTATTGTCACTGCGTAATGAAAACCTTGCATCTCCAAAATGCCAGTGCTTCAGGATGTAAAAAAAAACAGGAAGGAATTCTTGCTTTCAGTTTATTTATTTTTTTAATCATACAAAGATTTTTTTTAAAAAAGTGTCATAACACCAAGGATGGGGAATGTTCTTAAAGTTTACAGAGGTACAAGCTCCTTGGGTTTAAGGATCACTTTCACACTTAAAGTTGGAGTTACGAGGCTTTCACCTGACAGCAGTGTTATGTCTGATGGGACTTAATGAGTCCATCTGTCTGCAGAATGCCCTTGAAATTCTTCAGGGCTGGGACTGTCTCCCTAGAAATGCCCCCTCCCCCTCAGTGTTGACAGCCCCCACCCCAGTCTCCCCTCCGTGACATGAAACAGGTCCATTGTTTGGGAGGGCAGTTCAGACTGTCGAGTAGGGAAGCTGACAAAGTAGCGGTTCTTGTTATCATAGAGCCAACAGACATGTGGGAGACAGCCAGGTGGGTAGAAGCTGTGATAGAGACTTCCAGTCGTCAGACTAATGGCTGAGTGGCTGTATGGAATCAGACATTTTCTTTACACATGTTGATATAAAGATCAAACATTTCACTACATCTATTTTAAATGTGCCACTCCAATTTTCCTGTGGGTAGGAGTTTTGTTAGCTAATGTATGACCTACAATAACCTGAAGGCCTGTTGAAATATATGCAGTGGACACATATGCACTGTGTAATGGAGCAGGTTTTTGGTCATGTGTTGGTGGTCTGTAGGTGGTCAGGCTCAGACCACTTACAAGGTCACAATAGAATTTAGGGCATGAAAAACATGTTTTTGCTAAAAAAAAAAAAAAAAAAAGACAAAAAATACACCTGAAAAAGGTTATTCGTGGGTGTATTTTAAGATTATCCTCAAGATTTTACATACCAAATATTTAAGCCTCTCAGCAGTGGTGATCCTAGACTCTGAGAGGGAGGGCCCAGGCAAAGAAGCCTATCAAGGCCCCCAAAACACCCCCTGATGTTGTTTTACCTCCTCTTGTTAGTGACTAAATATGCTCATTTCATTGTGCTAATGGGTACATCTAACAAATGTATGACAGTTACAGGTCGCAAGCTGACTGCTCTAACTAATGGTATGCAGTGAGTAGCCAAAATTTGCCAATATGAGTGGCCACTGGGGGTCCCTTTTCCAAAATTTTTAGGGTGCTCCAAACATTTGCATGGTTTGCCTCTACAGACGATTCGCTTCAGCCTCTCAGCCTCAATAGTAATAATGAAACAGACAGCCTAAAAAATGAGTGTCGAATGTTTAAATGATGAAAAAACCCCAACGTGAGTTAAAAAAAACAAGGCCTTTAATTTATAAAAGTAACATGACAGACATCAAAACATTTCTAATGAACTGATTTACAAAATGTATTTATAACAAAAATCATGAATCAAAACATGACCATAGTTAGTACTGTAAAAAACAACAACAACAACAACAACAACAACAACAACAACAACAACAAACAATAGCTGATTCACTTATTCTTTAAACTTTTGTTTCACAAATAATGCAATTATTTTCATAAAATGTAAAATACAGGGCACACCACATCACTAACATATATAGTTGTTAGCCTCAGTGCTTCCAACAGCCTCCAAGTTTTACACAAAACATTTAAGAAAGGAAAACAAGCTTGACAGAGGCTCTGTTTAAACAGATATACATTATATGGAGGAAAGAATATCTAAGTTTTCTCCATGTCAACATGAAGACAGATGTGTATAAGTTATCAAAAAATGACTGTCCCCTCCGGTTTTCTCTGAGCAGTCTTTTCCATGATGGCGAAGCCGTGAGAAAAGAGCAGGTGTGAGCTCAGACATAGTCTCTCCTATCATAACCACTTGGGGCAAGCGACCTAGTTTGGGAGTACACCATCTTCGATGGAGGCCTGTACCTTTTCTCAGGTTGTGGGGGGCAACTGGAGCAGAGGATGCCCCCTCCAATGAGCAGAAATGAAGCTGCGGCCCAGCCCAGGTACAGAGCTGCACCTATCTCCCTCTTCTGTGTCTCAGGTGTCATTGGATTGTAGAACTCCATGATAATAGTATGGGCAGACCACGACACAGGGATCAGCTGGGTCAGAGATGCCAGGATGAAGGACACCCCAGCGCCTATCATCACCCGAGCCTTAGCTGACTCTTCAGCCAAACAGTTTGTGCATTTTGCTCCCATTATGGCCACCAGGAGTCCCATGACGCCCAACACGATGGAGATGATAGTGAGGGCGCGGGCGGCCTGAAGATCTGCGCTCAGCGCCAACATGGAGTCATGGATTTTACACTGCATCTGACCTGTACTCTGGACCACGCAGTTCATCCAGATGCCTTCCCAGGTGGTCTGCGCTGTGACGATGTTCACCCCAATGAAAGCTGACACTCGCCACATGGGCAAGGCACAGGATACAATGGCTGAGATCCATCCCAGGACAGCCAGAGTCACCCCAAGAATCTCCAGTCCCACTGAAGGCATATCTGAACTCTGTGTGAGTCAAGATGCACGGAGGGTCTTCTCTATCTTAGCAGACAGAAGTAGATCGAGTGAGTATTCTCTGGAGAAGCAATTGCTCATATAAGCAGCAGATTTCTCAAGAAGGTGGAGTCAATTGGTCATTGGCCAGAGAGGAGTTCAAACTGTCCTCTGTCCCACCTTATTTGACTGTTCGAAAACCCAGCCTTGGCATGTAAACGGCCTCAGCTTAATCATTCAACTTCCTCTGCCCCGGTAGCTCTCCCACCTGTTTGGGTGGGGGGAGAGTAAACAGAGGCTCTGTATCTCAGGTCTGGAGTAGTTAAAGGGTAACAGACATGATAAAGAGCAGTGGATGAATGATTGAAAGTGGAAGGCACAATATCAACTCCTGCAGGCCTCTCCGTGTACTCCTCTCTCCTCTCTGACAAATGAGTCAGTTGTCTGGAATTCAGAATTGAAAACTGACAAAGATGAAGCATCATTTTATGGCTTGTGTCATTAAGACCACAAGTTGTACAAAGGGGTTCTGAATCATATTTTGCTTTAAAGGAGCAGTGTGTAGGATTTAGTGGCATCTGGTGGCGAGGATTGCAGATTGCAACCATTTGCCAAGCACAAACTCTTAGTTAGGATTCCTTCAGTATACGTTTTTTCAGGAGGTTTCAATCAGAAGCTGAATTATCCACTGAGGTTTATTCCTCTCCAAACAAACCTGTTGATTTAAACAGGTAAAAACACTGAATAAAGCAGTTTCACTTAAAAAAAAAAAAAAAAAAAAAAAATCAGTGTTTTTCTGATGCTGCTCATCACGGAGGGACTAACTATGGTGCAAAGACATGAATGGCCCTATCTAGAGCCAATATTTGGTTTATCCTTTCTGAGCTACAGTAGAGACATGGCTATGTAGAAATAAATGGGTTATTCCAAGGTAACAAAAACACAACGTTTCTCATTTTCAGGTGATTATACATTGACGAAAACAAACTTATTATATTATATTTTATTTCTGCCAATATATCCCTCTAAATCCTACACACTGGACCTTTATTTATATCTTATTTGTACAAAATGATTAAAGGTGACAAAGAGTAAAGGAGAAGTGTGTTGGAAATGGTGAAAAGGGTTTACTGTAAACAGGTTAGGATAATTCTCTGGAAATCAGTGGGAGTGCCCTGATTCCTGGAGCGTATCCTGCCAACGCATTTGATAAAACTATCATTTCAACTTCCATGGAAGATGTGCAAGTTTCCATTTACTGTAACCAACATGTTTCAATGCTTTAACATAGAAACTGAAATGTTTTTTTAGCTGTGGTTGTGTGGGAGAGATTTCCAGTGTACAAGTGTTATCAACATCTTGCCATAAGGAGGATAAAACCAGCACCTGGCTTTGGAGAGTGAATAAATACTGGGTTAGAAATACTGATGTAAGCTATGTGATGCTAAAAACAGCTTCTCCCAGCTGCCTAGGCTACCATGGGAAGTTAACAACTGTGACCACATGCCAGAACACATGCAATGCAAACAAGAAAAAACACCTTTAAATAATCCAGTATCTGCTTGGGGAGCGCACACAAGATTCTGAAGAAAATAATATATGAATAACACTTATTTCTCACAGGACATAGACAGGCTTCTTAAGATGTTCCAAGGACCAGTACTACAAAGATGGAGTGTGTTGGAAGCTGAAACAATTGTCCCTGTGCACAAGGGTCTTATCAGTGTCCTTGGTCTGAAGGTCACAGTGCATCAGTGGTTTCAACCTCAATTTACCTTTTGCACGTGCCACAGAAAAAGACCTCTCTAAATACACACTCTGACCTACAGTTTTACTACCAGGAGCCTTCAGTACACACTGAATCTGCACAGCACCTTTGTCAATTTGAGTTGTTTTCAATTTGCACAAAGAGGAGAGAGAGACTGTTTTACCAAAGTGATCCGGTAACTGTAGTCAAAAGCTTTAATTTGTCTTTAAACTACGGCTGGGTATCTTTAAGGTATCGACCGAAATAATCCAGTACCAAATGGTATCAAAATATCTCCTGTCAAATGATACCTACATTCCATACCTTTTGCACTAGGTGTCTGATCCTGAACCATCCTGATTCCCTTCCCGATTAGCGTTCTGTTGCTGCTGTCTCTGAAGCTATGGTCAGTTAATGTTTACCCAGTTAGCATGAGCTAACATAGGCAGCTGCGGCTAACATCCAACATCGAGCTATTAAACTGTCCTGACTCTGTTGATGAACCCGTTCATGACTTTTAGTTAACGTTAGCCGTGTGATGCTAACAGTTAGCCCTGTCACTGTGCGTGCAGTCAGGTGGACTCTGACAACTGTCTTTGATGCAGAGATCACACTCCCACAACAAGCAACAACAGCAGCTACAGCCCTATACTACTGGTGGTGAAGTCGGGTGCAGTGTGTTTTAATGGAGTTGGCAGTTCAATGTGCCACGAAGTCACCAAAACGTTCACCACCTTTTTGGTAGCGTACAAAATACACCATTGGTAACAGTATTACTTTAAGAGTACTGGTACTGGTATCACAATTTTCTTAAACGATACTCAGCCCTACTTTAAAGCTGCCCTGTGGAGTTTTGCCCATTTGCGCCATCTGCCTTGCGCCATCTGCGTGCGCCGTTCAATGACGTCGGCAATATCAGTGATGCCCCCCCCCCCAGCCAATGTTATCTATTTGCTTTATTTATCCAGAGGTCAGAGCTAAAGCTAAATGACAAACCTATTTACCACCCAATAATTTTTGTTGTTTTATTTGCTATGAACAAATATACAGACAGCTCAGTGGCAGAGCAGTGCGCACATACACAATGAATGGGTTCGTCGGCGGAGGTCTGCCATTTGCGCACTCTGTGTGAAACGGGCTTTACTCTGGTTTCTGCGTTTGTCACTCTCTCGTTTTGCCTTTTTTCCTTCTTCTGAACGTCGCAGAGGTTGGGGAGGACCAGCGGGACCAGCTCCAGAGGCTTCGGAAGCTTTCCTGGGCCGTTTCTTTGGGTTTTCAGACATCTTTCAGTAGCTCCTCTGCTAGCCTCGTCATCTCCGACATTTCCAACTGTGCATGCGCTCTTTGAACTCCACGTCAAATGCGTCATTTCCTGTGCGACAGCGTGGGAATGTCACTCCTGAGAGGCAATAGCGCTTCTAAGCAAACCAGAGACTGTTGCGTTCAATGATCATCCTAATAACTCGTCTGGCAGTGGCTGTAATGTAACGGACATTGGTTTATATGTAAAAACTCCACAGGGCAGCTTTAAACACAGCATTGTATTGTGCATAAATTGTGCATAAACTTTTGAACCGTCAGAAGTTTCTGATGGTTACTTGAGGCCATAAAGGAAACATGAACCTGTACACTACCAACCCCAAAAGCTGCAACATTTCATTTAGTCACTGATGATGTGCTCATATTTGTACACACCCTACATGTTCAGTAAATGTCAGCCTTAATTTATCATGGTTGCTGTTGTAAAGTGGGAGCTGGTGTTCTTACGGTAGATTGCTGTTTGTCTTCACCTCTGATTTGGCTGTTGCACTTTCCCATTAACACATGACTGCACAGCTGGACTCAGTAACACAATCCTGCCAGCAGGGTCTGTGGTCACTCAAAGGGAGGTGTAGAAGCCTATCCTTTTAGATCATTAATGTCATTGCTCAAGCCAAAGCAGGTTAAGAAAGCAAGAATGTTTTGGACCTGTATCTTTGTTTCTTGTACTTTACATGTATTGCTTGTGTATTGCTTGTAAACCAGGAGTACTGAGTTGCCATGCACATTTGTAGTATATATTTTGTACACTGTGGTAAGACTATGTTCTAAAAAAAAGTTTGGAAGTACCTGAATGAGATTTAGCGAAGACAGACTGGCATGCAGAAATGTTTATGTACAGTATGACATTAAAGCAGGGCTTAATGAGTAAGTTTATTTTTAGTTTATTTACTTTATTAATCCCCCTGAGGAGAAATTCAATGTGGCACAGTAGCACAGTAGCACAGGCTTCTAAAAACATCACCTTTAATGCTTTTAGTTTCAATCACATGACATGATGTTGGTGGCCCTAAATGCAGCAGACACACTTTTGAGGTGTTACCAACTCTCTACAACATAATTTTTCCAACAGTGCCTGCTCTTGTTTTAGATTTTTGAGGATTTCAAGTGATTCTGTGAGCATTTAGATGCACTTTTATCACAGTGAATCCCACCTGGGGAATAAACAGTTGGGAACCAGGTGATCAATGGGGTCTTTGTAGCTCAGTTTGGACTCAGTTACAGTGCAGGTTACGTCCCTTTGCAGAGAGAGACTTTTATCTCTGACTCAGTTTCACTCTTGCAAATGGAAGACAGGCTACAATGGAAGGGAAGCATAAGGTGCTCCTCTGTAACAAGCCACCCATTGTTTCTTTCCTCCATTTACATTGAAATTAAATACCTAATTTTGGCATGCACCATCACGGTCAGACTGGTCAGACTCTGCTGAGCTCTGCAGCTGGCATCTGCCCCTGTCTCTGCATACCAAGAACGTACGCAGGCATAGTTGTTATGTTACACTTAATTTAAGCATCAATTTCTGACTCTGTGGCATGAAACTACAGAATTAGATACTTTATCTCCATCATCAAGAACGTTCGAAAATGAGTAAATTCTTGTAAATTTTTTGTTCTTTTATTTCATAACCTTTCATCAGAAATAATCTGCAAAGACATTGTATATATTTTTTTAATCAATATCAAAGTCAGACATTATCTTAATGTTTCTAATAAAATGTGTTATTTGAAATAATATATTAAAAGTAACATAAAATGACCTCCACTACAGAAATATGGTCCTAACGAATACACATCATAAAACATGCATCAGTGATTTTTAGTTAATGTCCAAGTCCATGATGCTGCATTAACACCCAGGCCAACAAATATCCTTCTGCTCTGCACAAATGTTCTAACATTAGGCATTATATCTTCATCTGCGCCCACGTCACATGTTCACACATAGTCTCTTCTGGGGTAGCCATTGACTGACATAACCTTGACAATCGAGTAGTCCACCCGGGGAGCCATGGAGCTACCACCACTCGGTGCTGTAGCTGCTGTGGGTGGGCAGGAGCAACAGAGCAGGGCTCCCCCTAGGATGAGGAGGCAGGAGGAAGCCCAGCCAAAGTACAGAGCATTACCAAACTCCCTCTTC